ATTTGAAAGAAACAGGCTATTTTCTAACTCGGGCAGTAGGTCGTGATCTCAGTGTATCTGGGAGTGGAAATCCACACATCTTCAAGTTGCCAAGGTTGAGAAACACTGATCTTGGATAAGATCTTGGCCCCTTCGCACTGAATCTGGTGCACCACTGTCCTTCCCATTCCCATTCCTTATAAATGGTGGTTTTTAGCACCTTCCATATCATGTCTGTTAATTTACAATATCCAGGAGATTCCACAAACTACAGAACCTGATGACTGTTTGACAAGAGCAAACCAGATTCCCTTCAATAATTCAACTGGCATGCTTTTTATTTTGACCTCTCTTCCTCTCTCTCTCTCTCTCTCTCTCTCTCTCTCTCTCTCTCTTTCATTTATTTATTTTTTTCCAGATAGTTGTGTTTACAGCCAGATGGTATCTATTACATTGGCCTAGACTGAAATTTCACCCAGGGGTATTAAACGCATCCCCAGTCAAACAGAAGAACTATCCTTTGCCAGGTCTTGAACCGGCGTGTGGGTTGGGTAAAAAATAAAAATTGGGAAACGATCAGAGGATGGTTTGGGAGATAACACGGGTTACCAAAGTCCTCCAGTTCCTTTTTTTTCTCTCTCTCTCTCTCTTAGGAGAGCTGTCTGGGGTTTTCTAACAGGGAAGGAGATGTTTTTGGAATCAGGAGGTGTTGCAAGAAAGATGTAGGCAATTCTTTGTATTGAGAGGAACACAGGTGCCTTGTTCCCCCCCCTTTTCCCCACCCTCAGCCTCCGATTTAAATTCGAAGAGAATAAATGGGAGGGGGGCATGCAAAATTAACACATGGAGTTCACTTCTTTAGGACCAGGTTATTATTTTTTTTTTTGTATAGAAATTTTATTAAAAGTTTTTAAAAGGAGATAAAAACTAATATAAAGTGAAGGAAGAGAAGAAAGGAAAAGAGAAAGATAGAGGAAAGACAGAAGTGCAAAAAGAAAGAGGGAAAAGAATATAAAGATGCTTCTGATTTTCTTTGCAGCAAATACAAGTATGATTACAAAATTATCTCTTACTCTATGATTACAAAAAGAAAAGCTCTCTTTTTTCTATTATCTAGTTGTTGTTTTTTTGATCATCAAAACCACAGATTGTCAGTTTATTTTTTTCCCCATTTCATGCAAAAACCCCATCAGGGTTTTCTAGTCAGCAATAAACGTAGACACTGTCTTTTCTCTGATCCAAGAAGTCAATTTAACCATCTCTGCAAGTTCCATCGTCTTCACCCACCATTCCTCTATCGTGGGCAGTGCCGAACCTTCCCCCTTTTGAGCATATAATAATTTCGCTGCAATTTTCACATATAAAAACAAAGTTCCATGACTTTTTTCCATTAGCCCTAAAAGAAAAGCCTCTAGTTAGGACCAGGTCAGTTGAGGGACCCCATCTTCCCACGATTACTCTGCCCATCCCACCAGGTCCAGCAGAAGAGGTAGGGTCTGGGTCCCGTCTGCTAAGGAGGTCCATCTGATGGGACCCAGGAGATGTGCCTTTTCTGCTGTAGCCCCCACCCTCAGACATATCCCTCCCCCAGAGGTGAGGTTAGTCCCATCTCTGTTGGCCTTCTGGAAACTTGGTTCTTCCGTCAGCCCTGGAGATCCCGTGGTGGACCTGCAAAGGGGTTGAACGAGGCTAGGGGATGGTTGTCCTCCTGCTACCGTGGGGTTCTTTTGTGTTTTTTACTCCTTTACGTTTTTATTTCTGGGGGATTGATGTCTGATTTTTTTTTTTTATTACATGGGGATACGGTTTTCATTGATATTCTGCTTGTAAGCCCCCCAGGGTCACTGTTTGTGAGATGGGTGGCTGTATGAATTTGATAGATAAATAAATAGAGTGGTTGGAGGTAGAAAAACACATTTTTTTCTGGGCCCTGGAGAAATACAAAGCCAGGCTCAGCAGGACTCCCCAAAGGAATCACCCGCAGCATCGAAAGGTCTTTCTTTGCTGCTCCCAGGGTCACTTTTTGTGAGATGGACAGCTATATAAATTTGCAGGAGGAGGAAAAAGAGGGGGAGGGAAGAGAGAAGAAAAAGAGGAAGAGGAGGGGAGGGAAGAAGGAAGGGAAGGAAGGAAGGGGGGAGGGAG